CCTGGGGGATGGGGATTGTCATGTCAGTGAACAAGAATTTTTCCACCTTACTCCCACCCCTACACCGTGCCTTAGGCACCCTACCTGGCCAATCATGTCCGGTGCCCTCTTCTTCTTTCCTCTAAGCAGCAGTTCACCCCCTGCCCCAGCAGGTCTTGCAGGCACCGAGGTGGGCAGGCAGACAGACCCCCACGGGGGAAATCAGGTCAGCGGGCATCGCTGCCGGGGTCTCAGACCCTTGTTTCCTTCCTTGTTCCAGTACTGACCCAACGTCCCTTCCTCCCAAATCCCCAACCACAAACACGGTCATCTGGGTTCTTTTAGACAACCCTGTACTCTCACACAAAGCACCTATACACTCACGCAGGGATCCCCTTCAAGACACACACCATCTCTACCCCTCCACACATCAGACACACATATGCACCCCAGCTTCAACAGGAGCACACACATACACTGGCCACATGCGTCCACACCACACACATGAACATTTTACACCAAAAGACACGCTGCACCCTCACATGCATAATAAACCTTTGAACACACACACCTCAAGCAGACTTACTTATAGACACACTTTCCTAACGAACATGCACACTATACACCTCAACAAACACCACCTGTAATCCCACATTGACACCTTGCATCTAAAGATAAACACACATCAGACACACATATGCACCCCAGCTTCAACGGGAGCACACACATACACACACTGCACACTTACCACATATATACACTCACCACAGCACGACCACAAACCCCGGCAAAGACATCAAACACACCCACATCCAGACCGCACCCACATAGTCACACTATAATCCGGCAGAAACATACAACCTGCAAGCATGCACACACAAACACATGCTCCATGTCAAAGCAAACCAAATACACACCACACCAAGCACTCGGCGAAAACCTGACCCGCACACATCCCCCTCACACCCGGCCACACACCGAATGCACACACAAACGTGCCGCACTCGTGCGCGTGCGCGCGCACACACGAGTACATTCATACATACATACACACACCGCTCGCCCCCGCCTTCTCTCTAGGCGGAAGAGAGGGGGGCGAGGAGAGGAGGGGGAATACGGGAGGGGGGATGGGCGGGCGAGGCGGGGCTGTCACAGATGCTCTTTTCCTTTGACCAGGGGTGTTGCCCTCATGTTCCCTATTCCCAAGCAAGGGGAGTGAATGAGTTGGGTGCAGGCAGAATTTAGTCTGAACCCGGGAAAAGGAGAAGGTCCGGGAGTCAGCGGGTGTGCAAGAGGGCTCTGCGGGGACCCTGACCCTGAGTGCTGTCGACTCCGCGGGAGGCTCCTCCTCACCGCACCCTCCTTCTGGCCCCTTGCCCCTGCACCGCCTAGACCTCTGCCCCGCCCCCCGTCTCCCCCCCCTCCCACTTGCTTCTTCCTCCCCTATGGGAGGGAGCGGGTGACTGTTAGGGCTGGAAAGCTTCATTGGTTTCAAGAAGTAAGGAGTTGAGATCAGCAGACAAGCTTTTTGCGAAACCGGTTCTAATCTAGGTTGAAGATATTTCTTAATGGAGAGCTCACTATTTTGCAAAACAATACATTTTCTGTATAAAAGGCAAGGACTATTAGAGATCACTGACCCCTAGCTGGACACATAGTAGGACGCTAGAAATGATCTTCCTTCCCACTTATGTCACCAAATCTGGCGGGGCTATCTGCAGCCTAACACCGGTCCACGACAGCTCTTGGGCAGTTGGTGAGCTTTTTTCTTAGCACACAAACCCTCCCAAGAATAGCGACCTCGAACAAGGAGTCACTGGCGCAGGCGGGCGTTAGAGTCGCTGAAGGTGATTTGCATAGCTCCCCCCGCCCGCCGCAGAAAACTCCGAGGTCGCCTCCCACAATAGGTGGGCTACAGGGGTCACTCCAGGATGGCCCGCAGCCAGATGACCGTCTGGTTCCTGTCCTCCGCTTGCCTCCTTTCTTGAGGATCTGAAGTTGAACAGCAGGGGAAAGGGAGGCGGAGGAAAAGGAGCCCTTTCCCTTTCCACTACCCAGTGGCCCATTGTTTAAAGCGCTGCGCAAAGTACACAGACTTCGGAGTTACTATAGGTTCGAATCCCAGCTCTGCCACTTCGTAGCTGTTTACCTTGGCTTAGGTCATGGAATAGTTACGAGGTTTAGAGGAGGTAATATATATGAAGTATTATCACAGTTAAGATACTGAAGATGCCCATTCCTTCCCTCTTTCCCTCACCCTCATTAAAAAGATAAAGATATGGGAGTTTGGGGTAAAGGGAATCAGAGGCTGGGAGGGGGTCATGGCCACCAGCTAATGCCCCCAAACTAAGCCAGAAAGGCAGAGGATGGGCAGGATTCAGTTAACGTGCAATGTATCATGTTTAAGGGAACCAATGATTTAGTGATGACACTTACTGGCAACAAGAAGGTCCAGGTCACAACTTCAAGCCTTGGAGTTGGAATGAAGCCCTTCTGCCCATCACCTCCCCTCCCCACAGGGATTTCCTAACTCACCCCCTTACCAAGGTACCACGTTAATATTTTTAAACTTGTAGTGAGCACTCATTGGATGCTAGAGATGTCTCTTGTTACCTTATGCCCTGCCAGTGCCTAGCACAGTGCCAGACACACAGCACAGGCTTTATACATGCAGCAAAGACATATCTGGGGTTAAATCCCTTGGAAACACTCAGACTCAAGTGTACATCAGGAATTATCATAAGGAACCTAGAGAGAGGACTCCAGTAGTGGCATCCCAGGCACTGTGGGGATGGAGGCCAGTGGCTTTGGATAAGGGGCTATTGCATTCCTCCTCAAAGCCCTCCATCTGTAAGCCTGTCTGGAAGGGTGTTGTTTCACTGTGGCTGAGGCTTTTGCAGTCAATTAAGAAGAAAGCCTCTTTCCTGGAGGGCAGGGGCCCTGGACAGCTAGAGGGTGAGTCACTGCATCAGAGTTGGTGCTAAAGTGGCAATGGATCAGAACAAGATGGCATGGGGAGAGTACCTGAGTGATGAGGAGAAGGGGTTTGAGGCAGGAACCTGAGCCCTTGAGGCTGGTACTAAGGGATAGAGTGTTTGTATTCATATGCATAGAGTCAGCTCCTAACCCACCTCCCCACTTCCACCCCCACCAAGTCCCCAAGGATAGCACTGGCAGAGGAGGAACTAGAGTGGAAAGCACCCGTCCTGCAGAGGGGGGATGTTCGAGAGACTTGGGTTCTAATCCTGACTCTGTTACTTACTCTGTGACCTTGGGCAAGCTTTTTTCCCTCTCTGGGCTTCAGTAGCAAGGTAAATGCTAAGTACTCTACCTATGTTAATTTCACATGCTTTTCTCCACAGTGCTATGAGGTAAGCATTTATTCCTCTATTTTTTAGTGGAGAAAACAGAGGCTAAGTGATATTTACCTTCTCTATATATATCATGAGGTCTTTGTGTATTTATGTTACCAAGGCAATTGCTGTAATCCAAGCCAATAACCTGCCAGTCCTCTGCCTAAATTGGATCCCTATGCACTCATGTTCAAGTCATGTCTCCCAGCTGCCCCCAACACCAACCCATGTTACTGGCTACCTGGATTGATTTTTCTTTTATCTCCTATGAAACATCCCCCCCCAACCCGAGTCTTTTCCTGGCATATCAGTCTAAAATCCCACATTAAAAAGCAAGCATCGCCAGAAAGATATACCCTAATATCAGCCCCTTATCACAGGGTGAGAGGGACTGGCTCCAGGATGCTGCAGTGAGGATGGTGAGCAGAGCTGCTGGGGTGAGAAGGAGGGGCTACAGAAAAATCCAATGGGGGTGGGGAAGGGGAGAGAGGGAAAAATAGGAGAAAGAATATGAATATGAATATGACTGCCTGGGACAAATTGGACCAGCCTCAGACTGCTGCTCCCTCCCTTTCTCCTCCTCTCCTAATCTGGTGCTCTAGAATGTATAAAGGGGCAGCACCCAGCCCATTTCCAACAGGAGGTGAGGGAAAGATCCTCTCCCTCAATGGAAAAAGAAATTGTCCTGAGCTTTCAAATTACATTCTTGTGTTGGGTAAGATTTATTTAATTCCGGAAGGAGGAGGGCAAGGGCATTGTGATGGTAGTGATGATAGCAAGGTGGCACTTAAATTGAAAAGAGCATCACCAAAGCTGTGGCTAGAGCCAGAAGCTCTCTCTGTCTTTACTAGGAGATAAGAAAAACTTGCCATTGGGTTTGGAGATCTCATTTCCAATCCAGGACCCCAAGAGCCACATCTCTGAACCTTTGGGGAATAAGTCCAGATCTTTCTGGGCTTCCACAGTAGCTATGCTTGGAGCCAGCAGCTGAGCTCTATCTTTCCCCCTCCCTTTCTTCCTTCTCCCCAGAGCCTAAATCTATTTCTCCTTCTTACCTCTTGCTGGGCTAGCCCTTAGTTTCTGACATTCTTGACTCTTCTCTCCTTTCTTCTCCATTTCTGTCCCTCTTTGTCAATAACACTCTCCTTTTGTCCATTTACTTGGCCCAAGAGAGGTGAGAAGTCAGTTTGGAGGGGGGTGTAATTATGTACTTGAAATTTCCCTCTCTTGAGATCTTGCATTTATAACCCCATATTGCCCTTGTTGCATCAGATAAGAAGACTTAGCTCTTGTAAATACTATATTTTTGCTTGGTTGAATGATGATTTTTGTATGTGATTAGTGGGCTGCAAATTAAAGAGGATATTTTTGGAAGAGGTATTAAAAGATAAGATGGTTTGGACAGGTGTGGATGGCCTCATTTCCCTAGGTGCCTAGATATGCAAAGAAAACAGAACATGAAAAATGAAGACTATAGTGGTGTGTGTGTGTGTGTGTGTGTGTGTGTGTGTGTGTGTGTGTTGGGGGGGAAGGGAGGGGAGAAGTTGCTGAAACCACTGCCATCCAGGTGGGTGGAGAACTTTGTGAAGTCAGCTTCTGTTTGCTCTTGCTGCTCATTGAACTTTGAACAAAATGACCTTTTTGTTTCTGAGTTTGGAAGAGCAAAGGAGGTCCTGGACAAGACTGGGAAGCAAGGAGCAGAAAGAGTGAGGCAAGGAGGGGAAGGGGTTGTTCCTTGTGCAGTCCTTGTGTACAAAGCATGTTTCTTGCCCTTGAATGCTACATAAGTCAGGGCAGAAGGGAAGCAATATGGTGTAGCAAAAAGTGTACTCAGCTGGGATCTAGGAGTTCTGGGCCTTCATCTTGGCTCTGCCGCTAATTAGCTGTGTCCTTAGGTAAGTTTCTCAGCCATCTGAACCTCCACTTTTGCTTTTTCTTCACCTGTACTGTGAGATTGTGTGGCATGGCCAGGGGAGGGGAAATTCGGTGCACTCAGGGAAGGGACCCTTGGGCTGAATCCTGAAGAAGAGATCAGCTTTAAATAAGGGAAGAGAAGATCGTGGGGTACAGTGAGACACAGTAGGAGTGGCCCAGGGAATTCAGCAAACAGGTATGCGTAAGGCACTGAGCTGGCTGCTGTGTAGAAAATTGCTTTGAATCAGCCCCCTTCTCACCGCAGAAAGCTTTGCGGAGAGCGTGGGGGTGGGGGTGGCGGAGTCTGAGCGACAGAGCCAAGTGCTGGCCCTGTCTGCAGCTCTTCTCCGGGGTCATGCAGCCTCTTATTCCCTGGCCACATCAGGAGGGTCGCCAAGAGGTAGTGCAGGGGCAGAGCACCAGGGGCCTGATCGCCTCCCTCTGCGGGGCGAGAAAGGGAGGTGAGGGCACGCCAAGTGGAGACCCCGACGGGAGGGAGGGAGAGGAGGCCTGAGAGTGCTGAACAAGTTGCCTAAGCTTTTGCATTCAATGGCTGAAACACAGAGCGCATAAGAAAGATTTAATTTTTTGAATTCTCAGCGGAGCAGGCAGCGGAGAGTGGTAGTTGCGCGCCGCAGGGATCTTGGTTTAACTTTGCATGTACTGCGCTCCCTTGAACTACATAAAGGGCAGGACGCACGCGTGCGGCGGCGCCACCCAGCCCAGCGTGAAGGCCGCGCTCCGCAGCGGGGTGGCAGCCAGAGGCAGAGGACAAGCCCACGCGCCCACGCGGTGGAGGGCGCTGAGTCCGCACCTCCCCCCCTCCCTAGTTCAGGGCCAAGGGCGTGCGGTGGCCAGGACTCAGGTAGGGAGGAGGAGGGAGATTAGCTCAGACCCCCGCACTCTGGCGCCCAGAGGCTTGCAGAAAGGCTGGGGGACTCTCTCTCCAACTACGGATAAGCAGCTGCTTGGCCCTGTGTCCTGGAGTTGGCTAAGTCCCGAACGGAGAGGACTCCGTAGATGAGAGGGCTCTTAAATAAACAGGATAATAATAGATTATGCCAGTTGTGTTTCAGGCTTGGAGATGCTCTGTGACTTGCCCAAGGCCACCCCAGGTGCTTGGTAACTGAGCAGGCCTCCTGACTCCTGGTCTAGGGCTTTTTTTTTTTCCCCACCACATAGCCAAGACAGTGGTCTACTTTTGAAGGGGGATAGATAGATAGATAGACAATGATATTTTGAAAATATGGTTATTTCAGTATCGTTTTAAAATACCATTCCTAGGATGAAAATTACAGGGAAAAACATCTCTCACAGTCCCAATTCTTTATGACAGCCACTCAGAGAGGATTTTGAAAAAGAAAACTGGCAGAAAATTGGATGCTTGTTGGGGAAGATACAATCAAAGGAGAAGAGAAGCTGGTGGGGGTAGGGGGAAAAGGTGGAGGAGAAGGAGCTCTCAGCACACATTCTGAGAACTTCTTTATTCCGAAGGTTTTCTTGACATGGTCTCTGTTCAGGTGGTTTGGGGGAATGTCCCCATTGGTCTGTCTTTCTTATGCCCACTCTGTGGAAGCCATAGATGTGGTCTGGAGAGGCAAATGTTGATGGCCTTGCCTTTAATTTAGAGTCTCATTTCCCTGTTTCCCTCTCTTGTAGTGAGCACATTGGAGGGGGGATTCCGTGTGTGTGTGAAAATTCATATGTGAGAGATTGTGAGGATGCATTTGTGTAGAGGGATGTCTGTGAGCGGGAGTGTGTACCTGTGTGTCTGAAAGGGAGTGTGTCTCAAAGAGGGAAGCTTTGTGGCGGAGAAGATGAGAAGGATGAATCAGAATTTACTAAAAACCTGCAGCTGAGTAAATGTCTGTCCAATGCTGGTGGGCCTGGGGAAATAGTCAATTCTTAATATTCCTTAAAGGAACAAAAAAGAGGAAATATATTTATATTAGTGCAGGGAAGGATGATGTTAGACCCACAGGCCTTTCTTGATAGTCTTTCAGACACTTGACATTTATGTGACTTTCAATTAGGCTTCAAGATCCCAAGGGCAGAAACTGGGGCTTTCCATTCCAGATGGCTTTCCCCTTCCCTCCACCATCCCCAGCATGGATAGCTTGCTTACTGTGCTGAGGAAGCCAAAGGTAGGGACTAAATCCCTTTTGTGGGCCAGTTAGCTTTTTTCTACACTTCACAGACTAGATTAATCCCCTCATACCCCACAGTTAGCTGCCTTGCATCTGTCATCATGAAAGACCCAGTGAAGAAACAGTTCATCTTATCCCATCTGAAAAGTATGTTTCCTGCTGACAGTGAGTGAGTACTCATTTTCACCTTCAAAGGATGGTGCAGGGGCATTCTTCAGCAGGGTGTACTATCTGTCTCATTCCGGATAGTAGCGTCCCTGCTCAGTCTTCCTCTCAAATTTGACTCCCAGATACTTTGGGGCCACAGTCCCTCACCTTGGTACAGCACTGTACACTTTGGAGGATTCTTTCATTCCACCCTGTCTCTTATTTAATCTTCACCACAGCCATATCTAGTAGCTATCATGATTTTTATTTTGTAAGGACATGGATCTGAGGCTCAGAGAAGTGAAATAATTTAGTTCAAATCACATAGTTGGTGAGTGCATGAGCTTATTTGTGGTGAGGCTGGGATTTGAACCCAAGTTCCAGTCCATACCTTAGGAGCTTTCCAGGATACCATGATGTTAGGGTGGGGGTGGGCTGGGCTAAGAGAAGTGAAGGGATGAATACATAGGCCCTTTGGTGTCTTTATCCTTCTATCCAGCTCCCTGTTCTACCTTACCTATCATGCTAGTCTCTTTTGAAGCTATATACATACATGCTTATGTATCTCCATCTATCTTCATTCCTATTTCCCAAAAATCCAGCCACTCCCTTAGGAAAGAAGGTAGTCTTGATGTGGACTTTCCCAGTTCCAGAAAGCAGATGTTGGTGAGGATTACCAATGGTTTAGTGGGAAGGGCGAGTCCTGGCCCAGGGACTAGGAAGGGATAGGTTGTTCCCAGATCAAATTCCTCCATGGCATTTTTGGTAATTTTTGGTGCAATTTTAGGTAAGTCACAACCTCTCCGGAGCCCTAGTTTGTTGTTGTCTGTAAAATGGGGGGAAATAATTTCCAACCTACCTCCTTCCCAGGGGTTGTCGTGAGAATAAAATAACATGATTCATTTATTCATGAATCATGAGTAGCTGTTTTAATTGCAAGAGCTTTATGTTCTCTCAAACGCTTGGAGTTTTTAATCCTATGATTCACCTAACAAACACTATTGAACACCTACTGTGTGCTAGCATCTGGAGATAATGGACATAAGGAAAGCTTTTAAGAAAATGACAAACACAAGACAAATTAGGCATTAAAACATTTTACCTCCTATTGATAGAACATCTTATTTTTTACGTCTTCCACCACAATTTAGTAGAAGCAGCAATAAAAAGGAAAAAAAAAAGATATATGTGCCACAGCTTGTGATGCCAGCACTATTATGCACCCTGACACATACTGCAGATAATAGTGACAATATCTATATCTTGTTGTATTTGATGTCACACTGCCTTGTTTACACTATGCTCTGGGATGTTTATAGCATAAAAATTGCCTTTCACCATCCTGAGCTTGAGTTGTTTCTTTAGTAAATAAAATTTAAAAAGAGCATTCCACATTCTATTGAATGACGACTGTACTTATTTTACAAAGATGTTGTAATTTGTGGTGGCTGCCTTCCTTCGGATATGACCTCCCCTGGCTTATGGAATCAGGCTTTGATTATGTTTGCATTCTTTTTATTTAATTATTTAGTGTTGCAGAATCTTGCAGCTACTGTGAGCAAAGGTGGATGGGATAATGGAAAGAGCTGGGAGACTGAGGAGAACTGGGTTCTTTTGCAGGCCCTGCTGTCAAATTGCTATATGGCCTTGGGGAAACCCCGGTCTCTCTCTCAGCTTCAGTTTTCTGAACTGTAGAACAGAGGTTTTGGACTAGGCAATGGCTGAGGTCCGTTTTATTTTTGGACCATTCTAATATTCCAAGTAGTTTCCGAAACATTCTTTTTGTGTGTGTGTGAAGCCAAGGCTTTTCTGAATATAATTTAACGGTACTACCTCCAGCTTATGAGCTTCTGCTATGACATGATGGGCTGGCTCCATGTATTGGTGAACACTGTCCCCAGATTTAATTATCTTGGGATATCACCACCCACCACATTGCATAAAATGAGCCATGCTGTTCACAGCTTCTGTAGCCTTTGCTGAAATGGAGGTTATGGGATAACAACTTTAAAGCTAACTCTTTAATGCTCAGGGATGAATGAGGTAATGTGTTAGCAGACCAAATTGGTGCCCAAATATTTTCATATAGAGACCCATATCTCTTTCCCATGTTGCAATATATTAATGGGGATGTCTTTATCCATTGTCACTGCCTGTAGACATTTGAATAATGTAGATGCAATACATTTTGGGCACCCAGCCCCATTTACTATCAATTGCCTAAACCCTGAGGAGCTCTCAGAGGTTTAGAGCAAAATTCTTATTGTGCCATCAAGTGCCCTGATTTATAAAGATTCAAGCCACAGCATCAGTGCAGTCCTTGTCTTTTTCTCATAGGTATTTACCAATGAGCATTGCAACATTCCTAATGATTTGATGAAGGCAATGGAGTAAATTAGTCCTCCAAATTGTGAAGACTGTGGGTTTATGCCCAGCTGAAAGCATTTCCTTCCCTACAGTGTCAAAGTGGGTGACCTTTCTGACCTTAATTTGTTTCTCCATCTGTGCCATGCATTTCGGGAAGACCCGAAGTACAGGCTTGATGCCACCCAAGTGTGTTTGCCCTTTTGTATTGCTGGGGACTTGATTTGGGTGTCTCTCTGCTCTTCGTTCAAATTCTCCCTCTTGGGTTCTGCTAATATTCTAGCCCCTTTACTGATCCAAATGATTAGTAGTGACAATGTAAAATTGGATGGTTCGAAAGAGAAATAAATTTTGGGACATACAGGCATTTTACTAATCTGAATGATAACATTTGAAATATTGACCTATGCAGTTAGTTTTTTCTAAATTTTATAAGATGATTTTTTAATACTTGACCCTAATGAAATTGGAGAGTGAAGAAGAAAAATTTATTTCCAATAGTCTTCTAAGATCTCTTTATTCTGTATTAATACTCTGTATTAATTTAACTCAAATTTAGTAGAGATTAAACAGAGTAGGTCAGTCAATGCAAAGACCTGGTAAACTCAGGTCCTCTGCAAAGGACCTTCAATGTTAATATGTTTATTAAAAACCAATGCTAAATATCACATATACATTATTCATTCAATTCTCACACAACCACTGAAATGAGTACTATGTCATTTCCTCATTTTATAGAGGAAACCACTGAGTCTCAGAGAATTCAACTTTCCTAAAGCCACACAGCTGAAAAATTATAAAGCCTGGCTTCAAAATCGGTTCTATTTGCCTCTATCTCCAGTGCCCAGTACAGATATTTGTCTAAAGATAGAGTTTTTGCAAATGTCTTGAATTCTAGACTGAAACTGAGCCAGGTTGCTTTCACCTTCCTTCTTGAGTATCTTTTTTATCTCATGGTCACTTCAGGCTAGTGCCATGGCGTGCTGAAGGGGAAAGGGGAAGATACTTTGCAGCAAGAGAGGTCCCTTGGCACCTCATTCTCTGTGGGAAGCCTCCTTTAGTGTTCAGCTTGCAAAGTCAGGCCCAAGGATGAGTATTCAAACAGGAGAACCTGTTATGTGCCTCCCATAGTGCTGAAGCCAGCCTATTCATCTCCCCTCCACCCACCCATCTGCTTCTCCTCTGGGCACACTGGTCTTCCTAACTCTGCTTCTGTCTTGTATCCTACTGGTGCCTTGGAGAGGGCTGAAAGCAAGTAAGACAGTGACAGTTTTGCTGGTATAACTGCTCTTAAGTTTAGCCCAGTATGTTGGATCAGGGAGGCAATGACAAACGGTTTATTCTAAGGCCTTTGATTTCCTTTCGAATTGTAAGCTTCTAGGCTGACTCATCTCTCAAAGGTTTTTCTCTCTGTCACTCTCTCTTTTTTTGGGCTGTTGTTGATTTGGGGGTTTTACTGTTCATTCTTACCTTATTTTGGGTGGAGAGAAGGGATTGATTTTCATCCTGGTTTTGGATGAAAGAACCAGCTGTGCTCTTTGGATGGCCAGATCTGGCAAGCCTAGATACCTAGGTACCTAGATACCTAAGTACCAAGACTGGTACCAAAAAAATGTCTGGATTGGGGAGAGGGGAGAGATGTTAGAAAAATTAAGCCAGATCAAGGCTGTAATGGATGAGACCTTAGACTAATAGACTATGGACCTGCTATCTCGAATGAGGCATTGCTAGAGGCTTAGTCTGGGACTGTGGTTAGATGCATATACCTTTAGTTAAAAGGGTCACTTGTGGTTGGAGTTTGGTGCTTGGGCTTAGGTGTTCACTTTGGGTCCAGAGGATGATGCTTTGCAGTTGAAGGAGCTTAAAATACAGTAGGGGTTTTCCTCTTAGCTTAGTTCAAAAGCCATAGAAAGACGCCTCATCTTTTCTTATACTGCACTTATTTCTGACATCTGTGACTTTGGTCATTAAGGAAAGTGGGCATAAAAGAATTTTGGGAAAAAATACAAGGTGTGAGGGGTTTTTTTGACAGAGGATAGCTCATTTATTTAGATGATTATGTTATAAACCCTTACCTAGCTTTTCTCTGCTCCCCATAATAAGCTTCCCCCATAATATATAGAATATTATTGTAAAATTTCATAGGAAAAAGAAGCTCAGAAAAGTGGCATATAACTACTTTCCTTCTTGTCAAAAAGTTTAATTCCCTGTATCCAGAAGTATCTTCTCTGTCAGGAACCTGCATACACACATTCACCCAAAACATAAACTTGGAGCTATCCTATATTATTTTCTTTCCATTACAATTAAACTATTTCCCTAAGTCCTGTCAATTCCATCTGTAAAATTCATTCCCTACTCCAGCCCCGGTGACACTGACTTGTGTCAGCATCCCTTGCCTCCTGGATGATACCTATTTCAGGCTCTCTACCTAAACCGGGCTTTTTCAAGGCTCTGTGATTTTTCCAAGGTGCTACTCTGACTCTGTCACTACCTGCCTAAAACCCTGCAGTAGCTCTCTATTGCCTTTAGGAGAAAGTCCAACTCCTTAACGTGGCTTACGGGGCCACTCATGATCTCATCCCTGCCTATCCAGATTTATCTCCTTCCAATCCCTTTATACAGCTTCAAGAATATGACAACCTCTCTCCCATCTCTGCCTTTGCACAAGCTGTTCTCTCTCTCTGGACACTCCCCCCCCCTGTCTCCAGGCAGACTTAGATGTTTCCTCCTTTCTGCTCTCACAGTACTTTGTTTATATCTTGGCAGACTGACTTACCACAAGGTTTTGCAAATTGTTGCTAACCTGTGTATCTCCTTCACTGCACTGTTAAATCTTTTATGACAGGAATAGAGTTATCTTGCTCATCCTTTGAATCTATAGCACCCGGCACAAAGTGGGCAATTAATACAAGTTGTTTTTTCTTTTAATGAATGAATGAAAGAACAAATAAGTAATAAAAAATGTTTAGGAAAAGATTCTATGTGAGGTGCAAGGAGATGCCCAGTGGGAGATGTTATGAAGTCTGGAAGCAGCATGGGATAGTGGGCATCGTGGAGAAGGCTTACCATATAAAACAGGTTTACCATTACACTAAGACAAGTTTACCATTACACTAAGACAAACTCCACTTTTATCACTGATTCTGTATAAAAAGTCTCACTGGAAATGGTCTGGAAATGATGTTTGTTTTGGTACAAATCAATTTTTTTCATGAAAGAGTAATATAACCAAGTCGTACAGTTTTTGGTAAATAGAGAAAAGGCAAAAGGCAAACAAAATCTCCTCACTTAATATGATGCTGTTTAGCCTTTGGATGCATTTCCTTCAGTCTTTTATTTTTATGCATGTTTTTCTTCACATAGTTGTAATCATAATTAATGAAAATTCTGCTTTTTGTATTTGTTGTTTAAAAGCTCTTTGTAAATATCACTTTAATGGTTGCATAATTTTCCATACTATGGTCATTATGTAATTTACATAACTAGTCTCATTGCTGTGCTAGCTTTTCTTTCCTTATTTTTATTTATTTATTTATTTTACTGTTATGGTTCATGTGCATATGGTTTCTCCTGTCTGTAGAAAGATTTCATTAGGATAGTTTCCTAAAAGGGGAATTGCTGGGTCAATGGGCCTGGGTACAATTTTTGGCTCCATATCCACGTGTCCAGTTTGTTTTCTGGAAGAGTTGTATAAATTTGCAGTGCTCCAAACCTAGATAAAAGTCTCCTTCGTACTCAACATGGACAGCATCGAGTAGCATCATGAAAAAATAAAAATAAGCTCGATCGATGTTCTAATTAGTTAATGAAAAATGCTATATTTCTCTTGTCTTAAAGTGTCTTTTTAAAGAAATTGTTTTTCTTTTCTTTTTCTTTTTTCTTTCTACTTTTTTTTGTTAATTATGTCTTCTCTTTTCTGGACTATCTGTTCAGGGCTGATTTTTTTTTTTTTAATAAGCAACCAGAGACTGCTCTGCTTGAGGGTGAGGCCACCTCCCAGTTTGCCCTCCCCCTCCACTTTCCCCTTATAGTTCCCTCCACCAGGTCCAGTGACAATTGGATGATGCAGGCTTGATAATGATCCGATTCCAGAATGGGTGGCTGCATTCCTTTTTGGAAGGCAGCAAGGACACTATGCCCCAGAATCATGCCCCTTTTGCTGTTGTTGTCCGCTTTCATTTTTTTAGTGAATGTCCTGGGAGGAGCCCCAAGACACAACCCGGACGGCAGGGTGAAGATGGTATCTATACACAGCCTCTCAGAGTTAGAGCGTCTGAAGCTACAAGAGATTGCTTACCATGAACTCGTGGCAAGACATTTCCTCTCCGAATTCAAACCTGACAGAGGTAAGCTGTACCCCCCGGAGCGTGGCATCCTCACCTTCGGGTGAGTGGACCCTCTGGGCAGGACAGGAGGGATCAGGGGTCCAGGAGAGTGGGAGGGGCTCGCTCCTGGTCTCGGACCTGGTCCGTTCTCCTGGCGCCTGGGGAACCCAGAAAGTAGGAGTTGAAGGCTGTTTGTTGAATTGTACAAGAAGAGGTAAAGATTAGTTGAGTTAGGTCGAAGCTTGAGGGTTGAGAGGCAGTAAAGCAGACAGGCAGATGTCAGGGACAGACAGGTGGACAGAGGACAGGTGAAGAGACAGACGCACCAGGTGTGGTGAGAGCATCAGTCGGGGCAAGACAGAGGAGCAGAGGGACACTCTGAGAGAGGACTGGGACAGAGACAACACGGTTGAGAGACTGAGAGTAGAGAGAGATAGGGAGATGGTAAGAGAGGGAGGGAAACACGCGCCAAGCCATGCGTTGAGAGGGAGGGCGGTGCGGGCGCGGGGGCGGGGGGAGGGGTGGCGGCGGGAGGTGCGACGTGAGCGCTGCCCACCTCAGTTGGCGGCGCGGGAGCGAGCGGGACACTGCGCAGGATCGGGTTCGAGAGCACCAGGGGATCTCAGGGGTATGGGCAGGGATCTGGAGGGGAGAGCCAAAGGGAGGAGAGAAGGGGTAGCGCGGGCCGAGGGGCGTCCCAGCAAGATTGGAAAGTGCAAGAGGCGGCAGGTTCGTTAGGCGCCTGCAGCGGGCACAGCTTGAACTGGGTAAAGAGAAGGGCGAGGAGACCCCGCGGGCAGCCACCGCTGCTGGATTCGGCCAGGTGTCGCCACTTCTTACGCCGCAGCGCGGAGAGCCGACGGCAACCAGAGTGCGAGCGCGCCCGCAGTAACTTGGCGACCCCTACCCACAGAGCCCCTCCCCTCTCCTGTTGCATGATCCCGGCGGGCGCCGCAGAGCTCTCGAATTTATGTTTTAAGTGTTGTGACGAGCGACTACTGGTGCGTAGCAAGATGCGCGGTGCGCGCGTGGAGCCTTAGATTGTCTGGTTTGGTTAAATTCTTGGAGTCTCATATGTTTCAGATAGGATTGGTTCTGTTGTCAGGCGGGGAAACTGAGGCTGAGAGAAAGCAAAACAATTTTTGCCGGCTGGGCTGAGCTCCCCCCTACCCCCGCCGCCCCTCCCTCTGCTGCAGATCAATGCATTGCTATGTTTTAGTCACTTATCAAGTCCTATTTGCGTGTGCGTGTCTTTTTTTTCTCTTCCCGTAGCTCTACGAAATGACCGTCCAAACACTCTGGAGAAGTGGTTCCTGATTCTGAGAGGGCAACAGAGAGGTAAGGGCCTCTTGTATTTTCTTTGGAAAAGAAATAGAATGCTGCACCCCCTCTGTAGTGTGACCCTGGCTACTGGAGACTGGGCAGTGCCCACTGCTCCAGGTGACACTACCCCTCCCCCCCAAAAAAAACCCGTAGGGGTTGATATCAGGAAATTGCGAAATAGCTGCAGGTACATGGGGTGGTCCTCCCAGACCTGCCAGAGCCTTCCTGGTGGACCCAACCCAGCCAGATCAACTAGAAGAAATCTTTGCTTTAAGGTGATCACCCCCTGGTAGGACTTAAGGCAGGGACTTTGAGCCCCTTCTGGGTAGTTGAGTGGAGCTGAGTCCTTTTGCCAAACCACTGCAGGGTCTTTTTGGCTTGCTCCTTTGGGAGGGGCGCTGCGGGTCTGAAGGGGTGGGGTTGACTGTGGGTGGTTGCTTGGAGGAGTGCAACAGCCTCTGCAGTTCCTCCTCATTTAGGCGCTGCGGGGCTTTGACGTTTCTCATTCTTCCTCTCCCTGAATCCCCAGTTGCATCACTCAAGACATTTGGCATTCGCCTGGAAGAGGTGCTTGCGAATGAGTTTACCCGCCGTAAGCATCTTGAACTGACAGCGGCGATGCAGATTGAAGAAGCCACTGGTCCGGCTTCTGGTCGTCGTCGTCGGGGAAACGTGGTGCAGAGGATGTTTGGCCGCATCCGGCGCTTTTTCAGTCGCAGACGGGAAGAGCCCACCTTGCCCCGGGAGTTCACTCGCCGTGGTCGTCGGGTAAGTTAAATCATCCAGTGTTCAGGCAGGGAGCTTTCCTGAGGTGTGCAGGAATGTGGGGCCAGAGAGTTGAGGCCTGTGTCCTCACGGGGAGGGGAGCTTAACACAACATGCTGAAGTGATGTGTTTGGCTTGCCACAGAGAGAATGCCTCCCGTTCTGAATGTCAGGCAGTGCTCAGGAAGGTTGGAATTGACCCTCCTTCTCCCCCATTTTAAGATGGTCTGGTTTTCTCCACAGGGTGCTATATCAGTGGATTCCCTGGCTGAACTGGAAGACGGGGCACTGCTGCTGCAGACTCTGCAACTTTCAAAAGTTTCCTTCCGGATGGGCAGGAGGCTTCTGGGATCTAAAAGGAAGATGAGTCTCAATCCGGTTGCTAAACAGATCCCACAGGTTGTTGAGGCTTGCTGCAATTTCATTGAGGAGCATGGTAAGGGAGCTGCAAATGGTTAAATCAAAGAAGGAGGCAATTAAAGGGAAAGAAGGGGTGTTCTAGAAATGGACTTGGATTCTAGGAAAGGGCTTGGATAACATTCCCTTGACACCAGTGGGGGTTGGGATGTAGTGGGGGAGGAAAAGAGAAATGCCATGGGCGGGGGTTGGGGGAAGGGGGTCAGAGATGCTTAGTATCCCCTGGTCTTTTCTTTCAGGCTTACACACAGTGGGGATTTTCACTCTTGAATACTCTGTGCAGAGAGTGCGTAAGGTAAATTGACTATGTTTACGTGTTTGTTCCTTTGGTGAGAAAAAGCAGGAGGAGGTGGGGGCTCACTCATACACGTGAGAGGAGTGTTATACCTGGTGGGGCGGGGGGGGGGGATAGATCTTCTTTCTAGCCACTCAGGCACACGATATTGCCAGCTACCTCCACTGAAGCCTAGAACTTACTGAAGCAATGACTAAGAGGGACCTGTCATGAGCCAGGCCGACAGTCCATGTCTTCTCTCCCTTTCTCTAGCTCCGTGAAGAATTTGATAAAGGTGTGGATGTAGTGCTGGATGACAATCAGAATGTGCACGATGTGGCTGCACTCCTCAAGGAATTCTTCTGTGACATGAAGGACTCTGTGCTGCCAGATGATCTGTACATGTCCTTCCTCCTGACAGCAAGTGAGTCTTCTGCCCTCCCTTGTTGGGCAAGGAAAGGAAATATTACAGGGGTCTGGGGGGGGGGAAGGTCTAAGGGCAGAGCTCAGGCTGCAAGACTTCAAGAAACTAGGGAAGAATGAACATAAGAAGATGAAAAAGAAAAAACCTTTCCTGAATATATACAATTATTATTTGTCAATTGCAAATAAAATTTTAATTAAAAAAACTCTCCAGATTACTTTCTTTTGTATCTCTTAATGCTCCATTATAAGTCTCTTGCTTGGAAATTTCTCTAGAGCTTTTTGAAGCTGTGTGTGCCCTCTCAGGGCAAAGAAAAACCCAGGTTCTATAGAGGAGGTCTGATTTTGATGGGAGTACTTGCTTTCGGGGCTCCTGAGCTCAAGCTTTGGAAATGAGCAAAGGCAATTTGCCTGGGTACTTTCTCTAGAGATGTCAGCAATTTTCAAGCAGAATCTCATTCCCCTTGGTATCAGGTTGCTGTCAGGGTTAGCCCCCTGAGCCAGCCCCTGTGTTCCTTCTCTAGGTCTGAAGCCTCAGGATCAGCTTTCTGCCCTGCAGTTGCTGGTCTACATGCTACCATCCTGCCACAGTGACACCCTGGAGCGTCTGCTGAGGGCCCTGCATAAAATCACTGAACACTGCGAGGACTCCATTGGCATTGATGGACAGTTGGTAAAAAGATCTGGGAAAGGGTAGTGAGGAATGTAGTAGGGGATATGTGTGGGAGTATATGAGCAAGGCAGGGGTGGTGGTGGTGAGGGGAATGAGAGAGACATATCTATTTGTACAACTTCCAGTACTACCTCAGGGTCAATCACGTTCTGCTTTCTTTTACCTAGGTTCCAGGCAACCGTATGACTTCCACCAATTTGGCCTTGATATTTGGATCTGCTCTTCTGAAGAGGGGACAGTTTGGCCACAGGGAGACCAGGAAAACAAGCATGGGGATCGACCACTATGTTGCTTCTGTCAATGTGGTCCGTGCAATGATTGATAACTGGGATGTCCTCTTTCAGGTAGGTGAAAGTTTTGAATGCATTTATTGTACACATCCCTCTCCTGCTCCCAAGGCAGGGGACAGTTGTACTTGCATCATTGAGGGTAGCCAAAGCAGGCTGCCACAAAACCTCAGTCTGGAAATTCCTCTGGCATTAACTGGTCATGGTGCCTTCACTCCTGAATACCCGATAGAGATGAGATGAGTCTAAATGAAAAGGTGCTGTATAATAAAGTATAATGTTACTAATTTTACCCTCAGGTGCCTCCCCATATTCAGAAGCAGGTTGCTAAGCATATATGGACATCCAGCCCGGAAGCCCTTGATTTTATCAGACGCAGGAACCTGAGAAAGATCCAGTGAGTTTTTTTGGGTGGGGGAGGGGGTTGTTTATGCTTAGCCTGAAACACATTCTGTTATGGGATCTTTCAATTCCAGATCATCTTTATGTTAATTAATGCAAGTCCACAAACTAACTGACATTTTCAAATTTCTTCCCATTCAGGAGTGCATGCGTAAAGATGGAAGAGGATTCTTTACTTTCTGATCCTGTGGAAACTTCTGCTGAAGTCCAGGCTGCTGTCCTTGCTCAAAGCAAGTCCTTCGATGAAGGTCAGTTCCCTGCTGGAGGTCAGGCCTTTGCTGGAGATCAGGCCCTTGCTGAAGGTCAGTCCCTTGCTGAAGGTCAGGCCCTTCCTGAAGGCCAGGTCCTTGCTGAAGATGAGCCCCTTGAGGAAGAAGAGTCCTCTGAGGAAGATGTGTCAGTCAATGAAGAGCTAGTATTTCAATATCTCAATCAAGGTGTAGTCTTTGGGGAAATTCAAGGTCTTGAGATCCCAAATGACCTTGAGATTCAAGGCCCACATCTTGAAGGCATACCAGAGCTTGCTGAGGAAGAAGAAGATGATAATGACGATGATGATGATGATGATAACCTAAATTTTGATGATCTTCCTCCCCTTGAAGATATTCTAGAACCTGATGATGAAATTCCAGAACTCATTGAGATTCCAAACTTTGAAGAAGTACCATGCTTTGATGTGGTCCCAGACCCTGAAGTAGCCCCAGATGTGCAAGAAGTTCTGAACTCTGGAGAAAACCATGACCCTGAAGAAGGACAAGATGTTGAAGACCACCCAAATCTTGACCTTGCAGAAGTTCCTTATCTTGATGTAATCCCGAACAATGAAGAAGCCTCAGATACTGATGAAATCCCAGATAATGAGGAAACCCCAGAAACCAATGAAATCCCAGACCATGCAGAGGCCTCAGATAATGAGGAAACTCAAGATTCCGAAGAAGCCCCCAACCCTGAAGAGGTCCCAGCTCTCCATGTGGTCACAGGCCCTGAAGATGTCTCTGATTTTGATGAAATTGAAGACCAGGAAGAATCCTCAGATGTGAGTGCAGTCCCAAACAACGAAGAAGCCTCAGATGATGAAGAAATTCCAGGACATGAAGAAGCCTCTGATGTCAGTGGAAACCAAGACTCTGAAGAAAATCCCAATCGTGAAGAAGACTCAGTTCTCAATGTGGTCCCAGAGCCTGAGGATGCCCAAATTCACAGTGAAATTCCAGATTCTCTGAAAGACCGAGACAATGAGTTTGAAGATGAGGTTATCACTGTGGCTCCAGGGACTGAAGATGTCTCTATTTTCCATACAATTCCAGACCCTCCGCAAGACCTGGCTGTCAATCTTGAAGAAGTTTTGAATGTGGAAGAAGTCCCAGTGCCTAAAGATCTCGACCCTAAAGAAGTCTGGAATCCAAAGGCAATTCAGTTTCATAGAGAAGATGCAGATGTTGCATTTCCTGTAGATGACACTGTCCTTAAAAACAAGCCTCAGTCTGGCCCAGTCATAGATTACAAGTCCTCCCCAGAGTCATTAAAGAATGACACTTTCTTTCTCCCTTGCATACAGTGTTGTAAGCTTTTGGCTCCAGCTTTGTTACTCATTTGCTTGGTAAAATTAGTCAGGCTACTTGTAGGGTGGTGGTGGTTATTAGGAGGTCGTCCTCTTCCCCGTTTCCCCGGTGGTGGTATTGTCAATTTGCTCTGAGCACAGGGTATCTGTCTACTCTTTCTCTTCCCTAACTGAGCTCTTCCCTCGGCTTCCACGGTGGTCTCCTAGATTTAGAGATCTGTGTTCTACTCTTAGGCTGCAGTTTTCTTACATGTCAAATGGGGATAATCATTCACGCCTTACCTTCTTGCCTCATACTGTATTTGAAACTCAACATTAGGTCTTAGTGCCTTGGGTGCTGTGCAAAGTATGAAGTCTAGAAACACAAGGAGTTAACGTTGTTACTATTTTCCAGGTTCCTCTGAGGAGGAAGTTGTGCCTCCAGGCACTGCCTGTTCCCATGACGATGAGGAAGGAGCGGGTAAACTCCCCATTCCGGAGCAAGACCGCCCATTGCTCCATTTCCCCCGGGAGAAGGAGGCCAAAACTGGCATCAGCTACTTCTTTCATTAGATGTTTCTCCTTCTATACAGTGCCGGACAGGGGGAAAGGGTGGGGGTAGACCTGGAATGTCACAGGAAACATTAAGGAGAGTCTCGAAGGTAAAGATCTGAGGGTGAGGAGTTCCACCTGATGCCCGGGTCAGGAGGGGAATTCCAAACACACTGCCAGCCCCTTCACTGGGTATGCTTGGTCCTTCAGCTAGTAAAAGCAGAGATGTTTCCGTGTCGTGCCCAGGCTCCCTGGTGCTACCTTGGCTTTCTCTTTTACCCCTGAAGGATCAGGCTTTCTCTCATTACAGCCCTTCCTTTAATTGATGTGACATTTGTGGTAAACACCTGTCCCAGAGAAGCTCACAAATCTCGAGGTGCTTTCCCTCCCCCAAAGGGAATTGCATGTTTTTCCTGACTTTCCTACCCTCCTCTCAAGAGCTCAATTGGAAAGGCCCTCAAGAGGCATGCTAGAACGTTAGGTCAGCCTACTGACAGCTGACAAACAATTAATACTAAACCATGTCACATCAACTCATAGCCATGTCCCCTGCAGCAACTCCACCACCTCAGGATTTTTTCCCCAAATTATTTAGACCAATGGCTCGTCAAACAGCCACTCCCAAAATTCTGTGCAGTTTTGCTCAGGTCGTGCCAACAGGGAAACCTCAAGTATAAGTTTAATTAGCTTTTCTGGGGTCAAAAGTTAGAGGAAAAATTAGATTTTAATACCTGGATTTGTTTTAAAGACAGCTGGTGTTCACACCCTGTTGCCAGCAAAACAGCTAGTTAGGTAAGGACACATAGTTCCAAGTAGTTAAAGTCACCTGATTACAAATGTTCTTCTCTATTGTCTCTGTAGTTCCCCTATGCAGGGTGGTACAAATTTGCAGGACATGCTCTGGTAACACAGATATGGGTTATGTGTGACATCCAAAATTATAGCTGATATTGATGGGTAACAACTGCTAAGGTCCATAGAATGAAGTATATATTGTATTGAGGGTTAGAAATTGATCATACAATGGGTAACAACCGCAGAGCTCGAAGATTTGTGATTGTTAAAACTTCTCTGGCATTTAGTCATTAATAAACATTTGTATTGTGACAGCAGCATATTCGTGGCTTGCTGTGTGTGGTTTTTCTTTTTTTTTTTAATTTGGGGGGTGAGTTGAGCAGCTCTGATTGGAGAGCTAAAGAAGAAAAGGTGATAGGGAAGAGAAATAAAGGGGAGGGGTGAGGCAGAATAAGAGAAGGGGGGACATGGGATAAAGGGGAGGGAGTGACATGGAATGAAGGGGAGGGAGTGAGATGGAATGAAGGGGAGGGGATGACAAGGAAGAACTGGGAGGGGTGATAAAGAAAAAAGGGCAGGGGTGAGGTAGAATAAGGAAGGGGAGGGGGTGATAAGGAATAAAGGGGAGGGATGGTATAGAAAAAGGGGCAGGGTATAAAGGGGAGGGGTGATATGGAATAAAGGGAAAGAGGTGAGGTGGACTATAGGGGAAGAGGTGATAAGGATTAAAGGGGAGGGGTGAGGTAGAATAAGGGGAAAGGATGATAAGGAAAAAAGGAGAGGGGGTAAAGTGAAATAAAGGGGAGGGGTGAGGAGGAAATAGGGCAGAGGTATAGTGGAACAAGGGAAGCAGTGATATGGAATAAAGGGGAAGGGTGCAGTGGAATAAAGGGGATGGAGTGAAGTGGAATAAAGGAAAATAAAATGGAATAAAGGAGAGGGGATAAAGTAGAAGAGAAGTTTAAGGGGGATGAAGGAGAAGTAGAAGAAAGGAAGGAAGCTTAAGAGGAGGGCCTATAAGGGGGAAGGGAAGGGAATAAAGGGGGAGACCACTAGGTGTTCTCAACTGAGGAATTTCCCATGAATCGGTGAACAATGTAAACCTAGAAACATTTGAAGATATATGACTTCCAAGGGTAAAAAGGAAGAACATACTGCTGTTTGATTGACGGGACCTCTAACCTTTCTTGAAAGTTTATGGCTTCATGACATACCTGGAAATCTCCCATGTCAGGTACAGGGCCCCAGAACTTGGAATGGCATGTGTTATTTATTTTTATACATTTTGCTATAGGATATTTCTTTGTGTAGAGATTTTTCAGACAGCAGACATGTAGCATTGGAGCCCTCTTATGATAATAAATTCATTATTATAATAATTATAATGATAGTTAACACATTGAGTTCTTCCAAAGTGTCTGGCACTGTGTTAAAAACTTTACATTCATCATTTAATTTAATATTCACAATAACCATGTGAGATACATACTCCTGTCATCATCATTTTATTCTTCAGGGACATGAGATACAGAAAGGTTAGATAACCTGCCCAAATTACACAGCTTGTTAGTGGAAAAACAGCCAGTTTCCAAAGCTGGATTGTTTTAATAATAAATTATACCAGCCTATTCATATTGGGATTCTGTGTCTGACACAAAGATGCATGGTGATGTCTGCAGTAATTTTTTTGGGTTGGGATTGGCACTTTCAACAACCAAGCTTCAGGTTTCTTCTTATAGGCCTTTTCTCTCCAGATAGGACAAGCTGTTAGGCATTAACTGTGATATCTCAGGAAGAGCCTAGCAGTTGTATCTGGGGCCTACAAATATTAGAGCCAGAGGAAAATGTAGATCTCATCCATTCCAATCCTCTTGTTATATGAATGGTCATACTAGGGCTCAGGCTGGAAAAAATGTACCTGATGTCAGAGATCTGGGGGTAAGATTTAGATAGGCTTCTCATTGCAATTCTAGGACTTCATGGGGTCAAAATAGTAAAATATGTCCCCCATGTAGAGTTGATCTGCACTTTCTCCACTCAGCTTAAAAACAAACAAATAAACCTAATAACAAACAGGAAAGTAAATTGTATCAGAACAGTCCCTTCACTTTCTGGCCTTCCCTGAAACCAGGTTTTCTCCTCATCTGATATTCCTTCCCAGTGCTGACTACTAACCAAAGGACTGAGGCTGACAGTGTGCATAGATGTGGGCATTACCCTCACTCATCCTCTTACTCTAAGGAGCAGCTCACAGGCTTCCTTGACACTCCAAGTCCTGTCCTCATTCTGGGTGCCCTCAACAATATCCACATGGGAGAGCCACCCTGTACTCCCTGGTCTCACACTGCTCTGACCTTTAACTTCCTGGCCAGTCACTTGGCATCACTGGGCATGGCTTCACCTTCAAAAGGCTCAGTGCCAACATCCCACTGGGACAAAATCTAGGAAAAGGCTGGCTGGGTCCCATGCCATCTGTTCTTTGGCCTCACTGAGGAGTCCAGCCTCCCAAGCCCTTCCTTTTCTCTTCCCTTCTTCCTTTATCCAGTCAGGATCTTGGGCATATTGATTTAGTGTTGACTGCATCCTTATCCTCCTGCCCTTCATATACCATGTCTGCACTATTTAGCCACAGTTTTGGGTCTGTACGAGGAACTGATTTCTCCAATCCATAACGACCACCTTGGGAGAAAGGAGCAGCACCCCAAACACAGGTGCCTCTAACAGTCAGAATTTCCAACCTCAGCTGGGCCCTCAGGCCACTCAGCAATCCTTTCACATGCCCTGGGTCATTTTTTTCCAATTTTCCTCCCACCTATACTCCAAGTTTCTTCGTCATTCCCCTAAAATAACAGCCCCTTTCATGCTACACTCACCCCACCCCATAGAATGGCTTACACTCTCACTTCCTAAAGGAAACTGAGGCTAACTTCACTCCTTGCCCCCACACCTACAAAGTCTCTTTGGCTTCACTAGCTCTCACTTCATATTGCTAACACTCCTTCAGTCTATTATAGTTCTTATTACAGTTCCTCTACCCTTGCTCTGTCGCCCCTCCCCTTTCCTGTCCCCTTTCCACCTCCCCTAAAACTTTGCTTACACTGTTATCAGTTCTCTTGCCTGAGTCTTCAATCCCTCCCTCCCTATTATTTCCCTTACCTTAGTTTATTCACTTGGTCTGGTATCTTGATCTTTAAAAACTATTCCTTCTCCTTCATCACCCTGTACCAATTGCCATATCTCTCTCTTTGCTAAGCTAATTGAAAGAAGTCTATTCTGCATCTTCTTTCTTATCTCCCATTTATTCTTCAGTCCATACCAATCACACTTCTGTTCCCACTACTCCAGTAAAATAATGGTGGCAATGGTCATCACCAATGACCTATTAATACACATTCAATAATCTTTGGTGGTACTACTTACTCTCTTTTATCTCAGTGACACTATCATCTCCTGATGTTTTATTTAAAAGTTTTTAAAATCAAACATTTTATTTTGAGATAACTATAGATTCACATGCAGTTTTAAGAAGCAATGCAGAGAGGTCCCGTGTACCCTCTACCCAGTTTCCCCAATGGTCTCATCTTGCAAAACTATAGTACAATATCACAACTAAAATATTGAAATTAATACAGTCCAGATACAGTAAAATTCCATCACCATGAGAATTCCTTCTGTTGCCATTTTAGAGTAAAATGGACAAACCTGCCTTCGTCCCCCACTACCTCCTCTTCTTAATAACTCCTGGTAATGAATCTGTTCTCTACTTCTATAATTTTGTTGTTTCAAAAATGTTATATAAATGGAATCATACATATGTGACCTTTTGGGATTGGCTTTTTTCACTCAGCATGATTAGAGATTCATCAAGATTGCTGTGTGTAATAATACTTCATCTCTATTTATTGCTGAGTAGTATTTCATGGTATAGATGTACCACAATTTTCTTAACCATTCACCTACTTAAGGACATTTTGGTTGTTTCCAGCCTTGGGCTATAAAAATGAGACTGCCATGAACAATGAACATTCATGTACAGATTTCGAGTGGACATACATTTTCATTTTTCTGAAATAAATGCCCAGCTGTGTAATTGCTGAGTCCTAGGTAATTGCGTGTTTAATTTTTATAGGAAATTGATAAAGTGTTTCCCAGAGTAGTTATACAACTTTATATTCCCCCAAGCAATGCATGAGACATCTAGTTGCTCCACATGCTAGCCAAAATTTGGTAATGTCACTAGTTTTTATCTTACCCATCATGATAGTTGGGTAGTGATATCTCATTATCCTTTAATTTATATTTCCCTCAAGCTTAATGAGATCAAACATCTTTTTATGTGTTTATCTTCTATCTGTATACTCTCCAGTGAAATGTCTATTCATATGGATGTCCAGTTGCCCCAGCATCATTTGTTGAAAAGACTATCCTTTCTCCATTGAATTGCCTTTGAGCCACTCCCTTCTTGCATGATTTCTAGGGAGAAGTCCACTGTAATTATTATTCTTGTTCTTCTATAGGCAAAGTGTTTCCCCTCTGGATTCTTTCATGATTTTCTAATTACCTTTGGTTTTCTGAAGCAACTTGAATATGGTATGCTTAAGTACGGTATTTTGGATATCTACCCTGCATAGTGTGACTTAAGCTTCCTGCATCTGTGGCTTAGCATCTATCATTAATTTTAGAAAGTTATCTGCCATTATTTCAAATATTTCTTCTGCTCCATTTTCTCTTTCTTCTTTTTCTGGTAATCCATTTATACATGTTACATTATGTAAAAATGTCTCATAGTTCTTGGATGCTCTTCTCTTTTCTCATTCTTTTTTTCTTTTTGCATTTCAGTTTGAGAAGTTTCTATGACCTATCTTCAAGATTACTCATTCTTTCCCCGGCTGCGCCCAGTCTACTGATGGGCCCATTAAAAGCATTCTTCATTTCTGTGATAATTTTTCATTTCTGGAGTTTTAAAATTCTTAGATTCCCTTCTCTCTGCCTACATTACTCATCTGTTCTTGCATATTGTCTATTTTTTTCATTAAAGCCCTTAACACGCTAATCATGGTTATTTTAAAATTCCTGTCTGATGATTCCAACATTGGTAATATTTCTGAGTCTTGTTCTGATGCCTACATTGTCTCTTCAGACTTTGATTTTTCTTATGTTTTGGTGTGCCTTGTAATTTTGGTTGAAAGCTGAACATGCTGTATCTGATATTATCAATTAAGGTAAATAAGCCTCTAGTGTGAGGATTTATATTAATCTGGCAAGAATTGGGTTTTGGTTTCAATGGTAGGATGCCACGATGAAGTAAAAAAAAAAAAAAGA